CAGGGAGGAAGGAAGGTTGCTGCTCTGTGCTAACACAGTGTCCTGGATTCCCCGCAAGAAGCAGGAGGTGGCACCCATGAGAGCACCTCTACAGTCTTTTTAACAGCTTAACCCAGGATGACATGTCCCCTCTGCTTCTCATCATGATGAAGACATCCTCATTAAACTAAAAACTCAGCTTATGTTATAAGGTTGCTGTTCCTCTAAATTTAATGTGAAGTTGTACGTGAAGAGTCACTACTAGAGACACCTTTCCTTGCTTCATACATTGGCACTGCTGAAGCAGACAGTCTCCAAGATTTCATACCCTTGACTTTGTCAGAACACCTGAGTCAAGCTCTGCTCACAGCGTTTCTGCAGACATCCAGATTTTCAATACTTACTACAGAGCAAGGTTCTCATGAAATGAACAGGATGCTTCTTACTGACTTCAGGGATAGCTGAGTCAACTGCTCAGAAGCTGAAATCCGGAGAGCCCTGAGCACTTCCTGGCTCTGCTCCACCAGAGCACTCCGTGTGTTTAACTTCTGAGTGTGTGAAAAGTCCCTTTGAAGTCGGTGCCCCCATAGTATGTCCTGATTAAGCAAGGTCAAGATCCCTGATCTCGTCACACCACTGGCTTGTGCACTTGAAAACATCATCTCCTCCATCACCTCTGCTGAGAGGAATGCCACAAGCACTTAAACCTAACTACTAAATGCATCTTGTATTACTCAAGCATGTCTGAATAAAGCTGATAATTTTTGAGGCAAAACAGATCTGCATACACATGCTGGTTATGCCTCTGCTGAGGCAGAAGCTGAATCAAGCCTAGTACAGACCTACCTTTAACAGAGGCTGAGTAGGTGGAAATGATGCAAAGGAACAGCACAGTAAGAAGAATCATGCTGGACTCTGCCGAGCTCCTGACTGCAGCATGAAGTGTGAGATCCTCCAACAAGTGAGCTGAGAGTGGAGCTTGCAGAGAGAGCCACAGGCTTGGCCACACTGTTTATCTAGATGTAGTAAAGGTCAGATTCCAAATTCCACACTCAGGTACTAAGTTCATGAAAGGACTTCCAGTTAATTATTAAGAACTAAGGTAACTGGTGGTTTCTACCCCATTTTGTCGATGACCTCGGCTTTCATTTTTGAATATTGAGCCCACACAGACCCATTGCTGAGCAGCAGAGCCCACCTCTAGTGCTGGAAGAAGCAGGAGATCCTGCCACCACTTCTCTCTCTGAACGAAAGGGTGATCAGGTGTGTTGCTGCCAGGGGCCAGATCCTGACCACTGTTTCCATTGTCTTGCATCATGTCATCATCTCTGTGAGCAACCACAGAAGCAGAGGTTTTTTAAGGGTCTTCCTGGAAGAAGTACATGGGATTTATCAGCGCTATCCCAAAAACTGATCCTACTTCAACACAGACTTAGATGTGATGTCAGTGCCTGCTACATTGGACCACTCTAAATCTCTGTTCTTTCAGCAGCTCCAGCCTCCATCTTACATCATTGCAGTGGCAGAGGTTAGAGCATGAAAGGTGAGATAGAAAAAGACATTTTGTCCCAACTCAGTGAAGGGTACCTGCTTGGCAAGGTCCGGGAGCAAGGCAAACCAAGCCCCTTCCCCTTTTCTTGTGCTTACTTCACCACCTCCCATGAAAAGGCCCTGGTCGACTAACCCATGTGCTTCCCTGTTTCCTCTGACAGTAAATGCCAGGCCCTCTCACACTAACTTCATGGCCATAGGGCTGGTTAAAGGATGTCCTTCAGCTGTCCCTCAGGTGTCAGTGGGGCAGCAGGCCAACCCCCCGTGTTTCTTGGCATGTTCTGGCACACAGCCTGCGAGGCTGCATGCCTCTCTCCCAGCACACAAGGCCTTCCCAGCTCTGTGAGGAGGCAGGATCTGCTCCTGCCAGTGAAGGAAACATGCAAGTGAGCCATTACCACAGCCTTCCACTCCACTTCCACAGATTGCTTTCTTGTGACTGATCTACGAACACCCCAACCCAGCAAGTGCTACCCTAGGCTGCGTTTAGATGCTCTCAGAGGGCCACTTCTGCCATCACATCCTCTGTAAGGGATGGTAAAGTGAGAACAGCCTTCACCTTGAGTGGTGTAAATGCCTCCTCTGTTTTCTTTTGCAGTAAAAGAGAAGTCAAACACTGGGGATGTCAATCATTGCCCAGCAGTGGGAAACAACAGGTCCATGCCACTGCTTCTCCCCCACGCTCATCCTCACCTTGTGGAAGTTCCCCCTGGGCCTCTTCCTGTATTTTGTTTGTATGTGTGCACACGTGGGAGGGAGGAGATTAGGACACCCCAGGGGTATACTATTGCTTCTTCCCATTTGTGGTTGGTTATGCAGCTTTCTCAGCACAGGTTGTGACATGCTCCTGAATTCAAGGGGCTGAGGCAGAGGATTACTTTTGATATATGCAGTAAACAAGGAGCTTGCTAGGCTAGGACATTATCTTGGTGGAAAACCAACTCCCATCTAGAGAAAGACCAGAGATACAGATCCTGCTTTAGAAAAAAAGCATTGACATTTTACTCAGAAGCAGGAGGTGATATTGGTTTGAAATCTGTAGAAGAGCAATTGTCCTCTTTCTATGCTCTTGAGACATGGTAAATTTATTTCTTCCTTCAAATAAAATAGATATTTTTTAAAAGCCTCTGTTAGAATATCCCTGGCCAGATCCCCTGCTGATGTAAATCCACATCTCTCTTTGGACTCCACTGTAGCAGTGCCAATTACAGAACTAAGGATGTAATTGCCATGCAAAGAAATTTCATACATTTCCATGTGGACACACATTTATACACCTGGAGGCATACCCATAACATAGAGTTGGATGTTCTTCAGACATCTTAGAAACAGGAGGCCTGAGCCTCACCTAGTTATGGCCAGAGTGAATCAGCAGTGACTTCCTTTCAGTCATATTACACCAGTGAAACCAGAGCTGTGTCCACCAAAGTCCATACCACGTATAGGTTGTGGGATCAGGCCCTCATGGATGCTGCACACCATGCTGGCATATGGACTGGGGTCAAAGTATTCCTCCTGCTGCACATTTTACAGAGTCCAAACTATAGGGCTCATATCTTTACACAGCCTAATAAAACTAATGAGATTTCCTCCCATGTTCTGAGGTCAACCAAATGTTTCTTTCTGCCTTCTCTTCTCAAGCAACAGCACAAAGATCTTGCTTTTCAACTCAAACCTTCAGGTGTGAGCACTGAAGTACCCAAGTGCATCTTTGCCCTTCAGCTGGTGCCCGTGTGCCCCCAGCTCGCAGGTTTTGGGTGAATAAGATCCCCCTGTTTCTGCCACAGGGGGTGAGAGATGCCCATCCAAGCCACTGGCCGAAGACGGTTTGCACCCTAAGCCTTTCTCAAGAGTGCTGCAGTCAGACCCAGAGCACAGGGAGTAATGTCATTGTCCAAACTGAGCGTCCCCTGAGCATCTTTTTTCATCTCCATAGTCTGCCTCTTCAGATGCAGCTTTAAGCTGCTGTTCTTTCTGTTGCTGGGGGGAAGGGTGACTCACCATTGGGATTAGCATCTTGAAAAAGTCACATTAAGGCCCTATCAAAATAATGAAATTTAGATAGGCAGATCTTTCTCAATATTTGCAACTACTCAGTTCTTCATTTCACTTTGTCACCACTTGGCAGACTTCAGAAAACATTACATTACCCTGTGTCGGTGTCTGAGGACATGGGGCTGGATGAACAATACTGACGTTTTGCAGAGCACATTGTGAGAAAAACAAACTGCGTAAGCAATTTCTTCATTCTAGGAAAAAGCACATCTGAGTATTATGTGACTTTGTCAGATGTCTTTTGTTTTTGTTTTTTTAAAAAGGCTTCTATCAGTAACTTGTCTGCTGCCTTTCAATGACCAAAAAACACCAAAGGATTCTCCACAGGGAGACTGGAGCATTTGGACTTGTGTGATGTTGGCATGTCAAGCTAGATATTAATAGTAACGTGAGTGATGTTTTAAATAGACCCCAGCAAATGCAAATCTAGCTATTTTTAAAGTAATGCACTGAATAGGAATCACAAATTAGATCAAATACTACAGCAAATATTAAATTCCAACAGCAGTTGAAAGGTCAGTGTCTCACTATAGTGACACCACCCAGTTTTGTGAGTGCAACACAGCTGTAGCGAACCTGAAACCAGCACTAAAACTGTACGAGTGTGTATATCGGGCACTAATGAAACCTGAGACAAACACTGATGCACATGAAAGGGAGATTATGGTAGCGCACGCTCGTGTGTTTGCTAACCTTGTATGCCTCGTTAACCAGGGGCAAACAGACATCTACATACTCAGGCTGTCCAAAATACATTGTTCCCATAGAATATAATCCCAGTCTCCAGAACCGACTCCTGTAATAGGGCAGCGTTCTTTTGCCGCCAGATAACTTCACGAAAGAATGCTGCCCTTCGCTGGGCATTGACACCGGAGTTTAAAAAGCTAATTGCCGGTGGCCTTTAAAAATAGGAAGCACGAAGGCGCGTACCTCTCTTGCGGGGGCGAAGGGAGGACCTCTGCAGCTACAAATCTGCCCTGAGGAATGCCACCAGTTAAAAATACTTCACTGCCCCCTTCGTGAACTCAGCAGTGCCATCAGAACCATCAGATAAAAATAAGGTTTTCTCTTCCTTTTCGCTGCACTTTATCCCCACGGAGCGCCCAGAGCCAAGGCTGGGGGTAGGGGAAAAGTGCACGCCCTGACAGTACCCGCCGCTGGGGGGCGCACTGCCCGGCGCAGTCACGTGACCGCTGCCCGGCTCGCCGGCGCGCCTGCGCATGGCGCGGCTCCGCCCCCTCCCACGCCAGGCGCGCGCGCGCGGGGCGGCTCGCGGGTACGTTGCGGCCCCTCGGGGGCGGGGGGGGGGAACATGGCGGCCTTCAGGGGCCCTCAGCGCGACCCGCACCGCGCCCGGCCCTGCCGGCGGGGCGGGACACGGCCCTCCGGGGGCCTGCCGCTGGCCCTCTGCAGTCTTGAGGGGCTTATGGCATGTCTGCCTGTAGATACACGTGTGCTTGCGTGCGTATAAATGTCTGCCTGTGCGCTGTGTACACGCAGGCAGGTGTGTGCGCAGGGCTCGGTGTGTGACCGCCTTCAGACACGGAAATCGGGATGTACCAGCCAAACCTGCGCTGGTTTTCTGGTGTCCTGTGTGTTTCCTGTCTCTGCTGCCACTGCAGGAAGCTAGGGGTTGCTGTTTCCTGCGTGTTGTAGATGCAGTGTTCTGGGGTGAAGTTGTCTTTGGGGAATTGTGGGGGTGTCGAGCATAGAGGAGCTGCTAGTGCAGAAAAACCACGTTTGTCATTGGAAAGGATTGGTTATAATTATAATTGATTTGAACCGAGAGTGTTTCGCTGAGTAACGATTGTTCATCCTTTTACTTGTGTTTGTCTACTGACAGTGGCCGGTGTCTGTTACCGTCCAGTGTCTTCTGTTTTCAGGAGAAATAAAAATTAATTTTGAAGGAGTACGGCTTGTTCACACTTCTTTTTTTTTTCCCCCAAATGGCATTAGTGACTTTAAAATTACATTGCTCTAACATGCTGCTGTAGTTATATTACAAGATACGTCTTCAAATTTTTGTGTTTGTGTACACATACTGCTAATGCTTTTTTTTCTATTACATTTGATTCATTATGATTCCCTAATTTTATGCTGTTGTTCTTTTGCAAAGTTTTTAATTGGAAACTATTCACTACCTGCAGATCTAGCAGGCAGATTTTTAGACTATCAGAATATAGGCTATAATTTTTATAGAATGTTCTATGTTACTCCTTGCAGAGGCTTAAAACAAACAAACAAGGCCTTGTCTTATTCTTTATTCAGGCTTATAGTAGGTGTTATATAGTAGGTGGCATTTGTTCTAGTTGAGCATCTTGTTAATGACGTTTATATCACTTTGTTTCCTAGAGAATTGGTGAGCAGAAAACTTGTTTTTAATTAAATATCCGGCACGGGCTGAGAAACAAGTCAGAAAACCCAGCCAAAAGCTAATGTCTGAAACACCCACAGACAGTCCAGAGGTGCCAATGGAAAATACCCTGTTCCCTGAAGTTCCTGATGTGGAAGGAAAGGCGAAGTCAAATGATAATCCAGCAGAGAGACTGGAGGCAGGCTCTGGCAAGGAAGAATGCCTGGAGTCCATGTCCAAGAGGCAAAGGAAGAAGCTGTTGAAGCAGAAGCAGTGGGAAGAGCAGAAAGATCTACGGAGGTATGGTTTGCAAAGAAGCTTCCCATGGTTCACATGTAATATTTAGTGCTAATCATCATGACCTGTCAGCAGAATTTGCTTGTGAATTGCTTCATCAAATCAAGGCAGTTGAACCAGTTTTCTCCCACACCAGGTTTAGAGCAGTAGCCCCAGGCTACTTCGTCTGCACTTGAAGAGGCTGTAGAGGTAAGCATCCCTTCGTCATACTAGAATTGTTCCTCGGCTTCAAGAGGATGTCAGGAGGAATTCAAACGTGCATGTTTTTCATTTGTCAGAAGGGAGACACAATGTATGTTCCTTTCTAAATGGGCTGTGTCCCTTATCCTGGTGCTGTCAGACTTGAGAATCTTACAAAGACACTGAGTAAAAGGAGCCACATTTGACACATGAAGTGCTGTGCTACAAGTTAGGCTGACATATGTGGCTTCTGTTTTGTTGTGTTGAGAGAAAGTGTATCTGCAAATGCATTGATGATAGTTTATTCTTATCCCACTGACTGCTGGGTGCTCCTTCCCAAGGCAATGGTTGTTGCTGTCTCTGAAGTTTGATCTCCCAAGTGCCTGCTCCTATCAGGAGGAAAGGAGGATGGAACAATTTCTTCAGAAGCCTTTTGAAAAACTGTTCAGTGAAACAGGATGTAAACTGATTCCCTTATTCTGATCCTGATACTGTGATTTTGTCAATCTTTTTGGTTAGTTCTGTTATGGGACTTGACTCAGAGCACCCTTAAATCTATGAGACTCCCAGTATTGAGTTAATTGAATTTGTGCCAGATGTTTCTTTGTAGGTATTTACAGAGCTTCACAAAGATGGGAGAGGCATTTTGTGCTGGTCTCAGAGGGGTACAAATACAGGGAACAGGCTGAGTTTAAACTGTCACAGTCACAGGACAACCACTTTGGCCCTAGAAGTCTGAATTTGTGTGCATAACACAGTAGCTCAGCAGACTTGGCAGCACTTTTTGAGGACTGATTTGTTTTTTTACTTAGGCAGAAACGAAAAGAAAAACGACAGAAGAGAAAACTAGAACATCAGTCAAAATTGGATTCCAGTAGTGAGGGGAATGACAGAAAGTGCATGCGCAGGGAAGTTGTTCCAAGCACGCTTCGCCTCATCGTGGACTGCAGCTTTGATGACCTGATGGTGTTAAAGGTAAAAGGAACTTCAGAGTCACTAGGTATATTTAGAGATACTAGATATCTTCTTAAATATAGACTTTATGTTCTCAGGATTTTCCCATGGGTTAAAGACCAAGTATTGTCACAGTGATAAATCTGTCTGATTCCTCAGATTAATTTTGTATGTTAATTAAATCCCGATGATTTTTTTTCCTAGAATAATGTATATCAAGCACATGCATAGAGGTGGATAAGTACACCTGTGTGGAAGATGTGTGTGTCTCCTTGTCAGCATAATCCCCTCACAGTGGGTGTTTTTTCTCTCAGCATCTGATGCCCACACTCTATGAGTAGTCACTTTTGCCAGTTAAAAGCTTCCTTTTTCTCTCTTTATCTTCTGACTGGCTCATGATAAAGCATTTTGTGATGGTCTGTGTGAAGGACTAAATAAGAACAAATTGTGTTGTGTACAGGATGTTAAGAAGCTTCACAAGCAGATTCAGAGATGTTATGCAGAAAACCGCAAGGCATTTCATCCTGTGCAGGTATGTTTGAAGAAACTGAACACTGACTGTTGCCAAGTACCAAACATGAGAACTGTAGTAGGAAAAGAAAATACTTAAGCTGCCTCTTTCATAAGAAAATTACTTCTATTGTAACACCCACATGTAATAAAGATACCCCTATATATGGAACAGTATATGCATGTAGATGAAAAGTGCCAGATCCAGGTATGGCACTAAGAGGCTGTTGATGCTCTTGGTTTTAGCTGTGGCAAATTTTTCAAAAAGTCATTCTAAGTCTAAATTTGTCTTTTAAATATATCACTAACTGTATGAATGGTCCTAGTACCACTTCCATCTAAAAAAATATTAAAGAGTTTTAGCTAACAGTTAAGGGTAGAAAGAGGGGAAAACAGATTGTGGCAATTTGACGTTTCTGTATTTTGTATCTCTTGTTTGTTCTGTTTGAAGTTTTACTTGACCAGCCATGGGGGACAGTTGAAGACCAACATGAATGAAAATGACAAAGGATGGGTGAATTGGAAGGTGAATAATTGAGTATTTCTGTAAAACGTTAGAGTATTGATTGTAGTTGTTAACTATATTTTTAGTTGTGAAGAACGTGCTTTTTTTCCATGTGGGTTTTCCTAATACAAGTGAGCAATAGCACATTTGAAAAAGTGTAGCTTTTTGTCCTTTTAATTGATTTAACTTTAATAAGCCAGAGACTGCTTCTCTTGAATCTAGATTTGATTTTTGCTTGAAAAACTACGCACAGGTCTATTTTCACTTATTTTTATTGAAAAAAATCCATTCTTGATAGACTAAGCAGGACTCCTTTATTTAGGCAGTTCCAGCAGTTGTCTGTCTTGAGAGTGCTCTTTTATCCATGTCCAAAATAAAACTTGCCAGTCGGGATGTGATTCTCTTGTGTGTACTTCCATCACTTCCATCACGTTGCCTCTCAGCACTGAAGTGGTCTGGAGGGAAGTATGGCCTCTTATGGCCAAACTCATGTTGGTTTTCTTTGTGATTCCCTGTGTTAAGCCACTATTCCAACAACTTTATAGGAAGAGCACTTAGAACAAATAAAAGCAATCCTGTTTCCATCAGTTCTTGTGCAATAGCTGCTTTATGAGAGCTTAGCATAAACTCTTACGGAGCAATTAATGTTAACTAAGCGTTTGTTTCTGGGTTCACTTTTTTTACTGGACTTGAAAATTACTGGGATTCGTAGCAGAAATATAGCAACGTTTGAAGGGAATCACAAGAACTTAAGGATTTGTAAAGTTCTTTTTGGGTTTCAGAAAATTTCCTGTTGATTTTTACAAATCGGTGCTCTAAGTACTGGATTGTTTACACAGAAAATTAATCTGCACTGTGCTATGTATTTAAACCTGAAGGAGGAATGTGGAATGACCACATGCTGTTGGATGTATTTTGCCAGTCCCATCTTGGGTCTGTAAAGCTTGGCCAGCAATTCATCAGTTGAATGTAACTTCTTTTAACTACCTTTTTTCGAGGATATCCAAATTAGAACAGAGCACTATAGTGAGCTAATAAAGAAAGAAGACCTAGTATATCTTACCTCAGATTCCCCAGACGTTCTCAGAGAGCTTGATGAGAAGAAAGCCTATGTGATTGGAGGACTGGTGGATCACAATCACCACAAGGTAAACTGTGGTGTTTTTTTGCAGCTTTTTGTGGCACCTTATTTGACATTATCGCTGTTCATATGTAAACTGACATAATTAATAATGAGAGAACTTCTTCGAAAAAGAATTTTTAAAAAATGTTGAAGAAATATGAAAAATGCTTGTGGTGGTAGCAGTGGCTTGTGTTCCAGAGTTTTCTTACCCTTTACCCTTCCTCTGAAAAAATACCAAGTGACTACAATCTGAGTAAGTTTGTACTTTAACAGAAGCTCACCTTTAAAACAGGTTGTGGCTGACGGTTCTAGAGCTGCAGCTGCATGAACAGGTTTCATTTACAATTATTTTGACTACAGGTCACAATGTAACATATATGGAAAATAGTGAGTTTTCCAGAGTAGCCCTCAAGTAGCCCTTGAGGCAGGTGCTGTCCAATCAGGGTAAGTTTCTTTTTTGTAACCAACTTCTAAAGCAACATCATGGCAGCACAGGCAAAACTCTTGAGAGAAAATGATACTTGTAGTAAATCAGTATGGGCTAATCTGAAACAGTAATTCTCAACCCACTTGTTTTGGTATCTTTTCCCCAGGGAATTACTTACAAAAAAGCTGTAGAGCAGGGAATTGGTCACGCACAGCTCCCACTTGGAAACTTTGTCAAAATGAACAGTCGGAAAGTGCTAGCTGTCAATCATGGTAAGTTCTAAATCATAAAATAATGACATTATTTTGGAATACACCTGTGATAGTCACAGTTAGAACCCTCTGCACCACAGTGCAGATACCTAAATCTTGTTTTATTATTTTGATATTTCTTGGATTTAGTTGCCTTCAGAATACACTAATTGCCCTGACCTTTAAATATACAGGTATGGTTAATGTAAATGATGGTGTCTTAGCCATCTAGAAGTGCACATTGTATCCTGTTGGCTTGCCTGAGGATTTCTTGTAGCTTTTTTACCATCCTGGTCTTGTTTCCAGGCTCACTCTATAAGTGAGTAAAATGTTGGAAATATACAACACTGTATTTTATTGTAGTGTACACATTTTATGCCAAGGGAGGATGAATGTTTGTGATGTTTTCACCTCTTTAGACAGCTTTGTTCAGCAGTAACTGCCTCAGTACCTGTAGACTTTTCTCAGTTGGTATCAGGAGTACTCTAACTACTGAACTTTCATAACTGTATTTTTACCTGATTTCTTGGTTCTGATTGAAGTATTCAATTACTTAATCAGGCCTTGAATTCTGCTCCTTTTAAACGTTCAGCTTTATTATTAGATTGTCTTTCAATGTCATTAAACAAAAATACATGCAAAATAGAGCCTACTCAGACCTTCATGGAAATTTTTGACATGGTGTCAAAGTCTTAACTGTGCCCCACTGCACATTCTTTAGCTTATCTTACCTTGCTTTATTTCAAGGGGATTTTTTTGCTCAGTGATAACTTTATTTTCTGAAAGTGCTGTATTAACGAGGCTAGCATTTGCATGATAATAACTATTACTTAAGCATGGAGGAGAATATAGTATGGCACGGGATTTAAAAGTTATCAAACCCTATGTATTTGTAAGATTTTACATGTTTCTAAAATTGGATCTTTCACTGTTACTTTATATAGAAAGGAAGAGCTAATTAGAGCTAATTATAGGAGGGGTCAAAATTTTTTTTAAAGTGCATCCACAGCAGGATTCCTGTCAGACATGTGAAAGCATTGTTGCCTGTACAGAAGGCACTGGTGAGACTGAAGTATTCGTCTCAGTCCCTGAGAGAAATACTGTCATGCAGCTGGAGACGCAGGGTGTGCTTGGCTTCAGGTTGCAGTAGTAGCAGAATTGCTGTGTCTGTTCCCGCCTGCATTTCATCAGCTCTGCTCTGAAGATGCCACAAGAAAATGCACATAAACCTCTGTAAAGATGGGTTTGGGGGTTTATTGCTACCAGCAGTTCACTTACCTCCCTGTAAAAGAGCTAATGGGCTTTTCTGATGTTGCAGTGTTTGAGATCATCCTTGCATACCTGGAGAAGAGAGACTGGAAGGAGGCCTTTTTCAGTGTCCTGCCACAGAGGAAAGGGGCTGTTCCTTTGGGAGAAGCCAATGATTCGTCCAAACATGCTCTGTCTGGAAAAGAAGATGAAGACAATGACTCGGACAGCAACTAGGCTTCAGGATTGGATGATGGAAAGATGAGACATGCAGTTTGTGGAATAAAACTGGGGCATAAAGTAGTTTTACTTCAAAGCTATCTGTGGCCCTTGTAATGCTGAATTGTCTTAATGCTTGATAGTCCCAGGGCTGTTTCTGTGCATGAAGGGTTAAGTTAAATGCAGGTTTTAACTCTGAAACTTCAATATAATAACTTTTTTTAAAAAAAAATAATGGCAAATGCAGCACTTATTTTTTCCCAAGGAAGCTGTTTAATTTAATTTTTTAAATATTATTTTTTATACATACCAATTTGGGTGTAAATGCCAAGAGAATTAGTAATTACTATGTTAATGTATGTATTCCTGTCTCCATTTCTGTTCAAGAGTTTTCTTAAAAGCAATGAATGGCAGGTGTTCCTTTGGCTCTGAAATCTGTACCACTAGTGCCTGCTGCAAAGTGTGCATGACCACTCAAAACAATAATTCTTATTTTCCTGAGCATCTCAACAATCACAAGCAATTGAACTGCCTGATTTATGTATTGTTTTTAGTTTGCTGGGGTCAGTAGGTGAAATATGTGGGGTTAAGCCAGTGCTTTATACTTGAGTTTGAGAGGGATGAGTGTTAGCACAGGTGCAAATCATGTGCCTTGGTTGGCACATGGTGCACACTGAGGTGACTCAATTGCTTTTGATTTTTTTCTTCATATTCTCAGCAAAATTTATCACACAGCCTCAGAACACCATCAGGAGAGAGGAACTCTTTTCTTACAGGTCACTCAGATTCAGTATTCCTGTGTAGTCACATGATCATGCATGTATTGTATTGTCTATCAAATACTTTTCCTTTAAAAAAAAAAGTCATAATCTTAGTCTTGGCTGGATGTTCTGATTCATCAACTGACTTTAGTGCTTTGGAAAAGTAGTGAAGTGGAGATCTTGGAAGTAAGGCTTTGCCTCAGCCCTGTAAACCTGCCTATCCCTTTCTTCTCGAGGTAGCTGCAGTGCCTGAATAAGTGCAGCTCTCACACAGGTTTCTCTTGCCCAAAGAGCATGAAGACATGGCATCCTAAGTGTTCCTCTCTGCTGAGCTGCAGTCAGAGGGCTGATTCAAGTATGACTTGCCTTGTTCCTATTTTTCTTCCTCCCTTTGTTATTACTGCTTTCAAGTGGAGACTGCAAGTGGGATCTCTGTGGATCGCTATGGTCTGTAAAGGCTTGGCAACCAACTAGTTATGACTTACACACCTAGTGCAGTTCTCTACACTTTTTAAAAGGCCAGTAGAAAAGCTGCTTCTGTTAAAAGGATACATTGTGGTTTGTTGCTAAGTTCCACAGGGCTTTTTTTAGGCTTTAGAAAACGGATTGCTTTGTTGCAGAAACTAGATCAGCCTTTTCATAAAATCATTGCTGATTTTATTTGCATTGCATCCGTAACAAAAAAAGGCAGCATAAATGTACCCACCATGTATTACACTGATTCTCTAGCTGAAATGTGTAAAATTGCAGGAATTAAACATTTACAGCTGATGTTCTGCATGTTAATGCATGTAGCACCTATTAAACCTAAGACTCCTCAGTCTGTCCAAGGTTTCCTTAAGACCATGTGCCTCATTTACTTAGGCTTGAGAGTATAAGAGGAGATGGCTCAGACAAACTGAGGACTTTTAAGAGACATGCTGAAAGGGTTCCAAAGCATCTTACAGAATTGTTGTGCAACTTAAAACACAGCCTTACAACTTTACCAGTGAAATTAGATACACACACCCACACACATACAGGTGTTTTTAAATTCAGCTGTTTAAATCTGAAGCTACGTGTCTAGGGAGAAAGGCTGCTCATGCCAACTACACAGTGTCACAACAGCTCAGTGGCTGCTGCCTGTTCATACACATTGCTTGTCTCACCCACCTGGTCTTCCCTTCTCCCATCACGAGAAGTGTGGCCAGCATCTCAAGGGAGGTGATCCTTCTGCTCTGCTCTGATGAGAGCCCACCTGGACTGCTGTGTCCAGAGCTGGGGCTCAAGACATATGAAACCCGTGGACCTGCTTGAACAAGTCCAGAGGAGGCCATGAAGATGCTCAGCGAGCTGGAGCACCTCTCCTGTGCAGACAGGCTGGGAGAGCTGGGGCTGTTCTGCCCAGGAGAAGAGTTAAGGCTCGGGGGAGACCTTACAGCACCTTCCGGTATCTGAAGGGGGCCTACAGGAAAGCTGTAGAGGGACTTTTTACAAAGACAGATAGTGAGAGGGCAAGGGGAAGTGGCTTTTAACTGACAGAGGGTGGGTTTAGATTAGATATTAGGAAGAAATTCTTCACTGTGGGGATGAGGACTTCATTGTTTTTCATTTTGGATTTACATAATGTATACAAGTTATAGCTCTGTTTGGCACTCTGCTGTTCTAGCTTGTGGCATGCTACTTAAAGCATGTTTATTCTTCATTTTCAATCTACAGACTTGGCTGTTCTCAATATTTTCAAGATGGTCACTTGCATCTTTCAGGCATGGCCCACTAATGCATTACACTGGAAGCAGAGAGAAATCACTGTACTGTTTTATAATAAGAAACTATAAGGAATTTGTTTCTGATAACAGAAATAAATACTTGCATGCAGTGTTTTAGGGCACTTCTTAAAGAAAGATCTTTGAACCAGCTTTAGCTGTATGAAGTTAATGAAACTGTAGGAAAACACACTGGGAAATTCTCTGCTTCACCCTGCTGTCCTCAGGGAAGATCAGCTTGGACATGCTTGTCTAACCAAGACTTAGAGACCTCCAGTGTGATTTGTTCCCGGGCCACCACGATGTTGAAGAACAGAACACTAAAAAGACAATTTGCATAGGAGCTCTAGAAGAACAGGATCCCTGTGTTTCACCACCAGGCGTCATTGCTGTGCTTAGGAAAGCTCTTTCATCACTAAGCTTTGGGAAATTTCAGGTACTGCCAGAACTATTGCTCAGCAATGCTGGGCAGCAGAATACATCCAGGGATCTTTAAACCTGTGTAGTAAAGCATTAAAAAGGCAATAAAGATGGTATGGCTCAAGGAACCTGAAAAGAAAGAAACAGAAAATAGGAAGGGGATATGGCAGAAAGTCAAACCTTCTGGCTGAAATGGGCAAACTTGCTTTTAGTTGTATGCAGTGTGGAAATCACAGCAAGATGCCATAAGTGATTCTGTTGTTTTGTTCTCTTCCCACTGAGCCACAATCCTCTTGGTTCAGATTTCTGAAGTTTGGAACCCCAGCAGTGTTCATCTGCATCCATGTTGTGAAAATTTCCCAAACACTGTACTGCTGCAGGTTACTGTACTTTCCCTCTTCTTGTCCATTTCCTGAATTCACGTCAATTTGCCCTTGCTTTGGCTTCCATATGTCCCATGTCACAATATATGCTCATTGACCCTATGTTTGCTTCTGGAGCAGTAGTGTTTGATTCTAGACTGCAGAAAAGCATCTGAGCAGAAAAGAGCCTCTCTGAACAGCCCCATCTCAGAGGCTTTTGGTCACAAAGTTGACAACAAGGTGGGTCTTGCAGTGTGCACTGGCATGCTGTACATGGGATCCACACTGATGGTTATTCCAAAATCCTGTGTGCTTGACAAAGCACATGCACTCAAGGCAGTCTTGGGGCAATGTGACTGCCAGCTGCAGGAGTGCAGGATGTGGCATTCCTAAAATCCTTAGAGCCTGAGGATAAGGTCAGGGAAGTTTGAAGAGTTCCAGTGTTTCTTTGATTTAAACAGAACTTTTTATTGCTCAGGCTGGGCTGTAGATCACACTGAAGATCAGGTTCACTGCACCATTATTGGTATTGGTTCATATTATTGTAAAGTGTCCATTTACTCTGCAGGAGGGTTTTAAAATAACCTATCAGTAAGCACACATTCTTCTTGTCATAAGTTATTCTGAAAAGCAGAGGTGGACTTTAAACTTTGGCCCAGCTTTGAAATGTGTTCCTTAATTGTCTCTCCTCCAAGAAGTTGGCTTTGTTAGCAGGAACAACAGCATCAACTGCTGACAATCCTAAAGCCAAATAATCAAATGCTTGATTAATATTCATTCCCTTTTGCTGCATTTTTACTTCAAGTAGTGTAAGATATGCTTTTTAATTTCTTGTTTGCTTTGTTTGGCTGTGGTATTTTCAGAGATCTAAAAGAAAGAAAAGGTATTATTTAAAAAATTGTTGTTCATACTTGATTGAGTACTCTCCTTGGATTTTATTTTCCCCTTCAAATTCTTCTAATACTTGCTCTAAACCCATAAGCTAATTTGCACCTTGCACCTTTAACTTTTCTTCAGCTTATTAAATGAATAAGGCATTGTCCCTTGAGCAGTTGATTTATTTCCCATGTGTTTTGGAAAGGTGTTTATTTCCAGGTGTCTTTGTTCATGTTCTCACAAAACTGGATTTCATCTTATATGTACTTAATTCAGCTCCACTGCCATGCCATGCACATTTGTATAATCTTCTTTTATGATCCCTAAGCTTTGTGAAGGGCACAGCCTGCCCTGCCAGCTAGATCTGCTCAATCTCTGTGCTTCAATAATAATGAGCACTTGCAGAGTTTTGTATTTTGTATGCCTATTCTTTTGGACATCCTTAAATGTGCAGGTGGAAAAATACAAAGGGGTTGGAGCAGTCACAGCTTCTATACTGTGTAGGGTGAGACCAGAAATGTTGCTTTTTTTTCCTGTCTTCTACTAACATGTGTGTCCCAGAGCTTTTGTGTTATCAAGTTCTTCAGAATTTACTCATAAAAGAGTAACTTGGAAATTGCTATCACACAGTAGAAAGAAATGCTGGATTTTTAATGTAAACATCCTCCAGAGGTTTTATTTATCTTAACAGCTAAGTCACTGTCAGAAATAAAGAAAACTTAGTAAGCTTAAAAGTCAACATGGTAGATAAGGAAGAAGTAACCTATTTTTTAAAATGCTAACATTTTAGCAAAGATAGTGTGGATTTTATTATTCGTAGGACAGAATGTATAGTTGTGAAATCTGTGATGCATAACTGCCATTAAAAGCTTTTTATTTTCTCTAAAGAGTTAGGTCACTTGAACTGTGGTTAAAATAGTCTCCTGTTAAATAGAGCCAGGTTCAGTGCAGAGCTAATTTTCTATTAAAAGAAAGGTGTTTCAGAAAGCACTAGCTCTCTTCACCTGGAGTCAACATCATGCACTGCTTCAGGCAAGCAAGCAATGCAAGGCTGCTCAGCCCTGGCAGCAGCAGGAGTGGGAAGCAGGTTGTGCTGCCTGTGAAGTGGCAGTAAAGAACCCCTTTCCCCTAGAAGTGTCTTGTAGTGAGAAACTGTAGCTATTGCAACAATCTGCTGAGCATGGTCCATGTTTCATAACATTTGCCCAAGTTAAAGTCCCCAAATGAAGATAATCTGGAGTTGCAAGAACAGGCCTTTGCCCACTGCTTCTAACTTCTTTTGTGTGCAAGCTCACCACCCATGAACACCTTCAGTATATTCTTTGTCTTCAGTCTCTGATACACATTCCACTGAAATCTGCTGAGTTTAATAAATCACTGGAGAAGGCATATTAATGCATCATGTTCAGCTGGATAAAGTGAGATAAAAAAACGATAAAGGAATTATGTATCATATATCCATAGAATTATAGGCTATCCTGAGTTGGAAGGGACCTGCATCAAAGCTCATTTCCTGCACAGGGCAGCCCCAAGAGTCACACCCTGTGCCAGAGAGCATTGTCTAAACCCTTCTTGAACTCTGTCAGGCTGGTGCTGTGACCACTGCCTTGGGGAACCTGTTCCAGTGCCCAACCACCCTTTGGGTGAAAAACCTTAACCTAATATTCAGCTTAAACCTCCCCTGACACAACTTCATGCCATCCCCTTGGGTCATATCACTGGTCACCAGAAAGAAGAGATTTTAATTGTACAACATGTAGATAAACATAAAGAAAAATTCTCTTCTTAATGAACAGCCCTAAAAGTGGAGAGATCTAGGGATCAGCTAAGTATTTTCTGGCAGAGGGTTGAGCCAAGGGCCTGTGCAAGCAAGTTGTAAAGGGGTGGCACTGTGGTTTCCCTGCATGCCAGGGCCACTGTATGCTCCAAGATGGAGCCTCATCCTCATTTATCTTTAGGAATTGGCCAGAACAAGGCAAATAAAGCAGCTTCTGCAACATGATTTTGCAAGTCTGCTCATGCTTCACTGGAACCTTACGCAGTCTCTTTTGTTGTCACCTTTTGCCTAAAGACCTTGACACCTATCCCTGCACAGGCTGCAGACAGGATCTACTGTCTGATCCAGTGTTCTCAGTTGGAGAAAATAGTTATGGCCTTGATATGCATATAGCATATGAGGGAAGTTTCAAGGGGAAAGGAAACATAAAGGGATATGAGAAATAAGCCAATAGGGAAAAGGAATGGGAACTTTAGAAGAATCATAGAACAGTTAAGGTTGGAAAAGACCTCTAAAATCATCAAGTACAAAAGAAGGGAGGAAAGGAGAAAGATAAACATCAAGGAATAGAGTGGACTAGAAATACTTCATTCTGATACAAGTTATTTTAGGAAGTGCAAATCACTAGGTCGTATCCCGTGAAAGGACTGGAGAGCTTTGGCTGGAACTCAGAACAAGAAAGTAGAGTTTATGGCCTTTGGAAGAAAGGGTTTAGATCTCAGGAGGATTACAAGGATGTTAGAAGTTTTTGCAGGGAGAAAATAAGAAAAGCCAAAGGCCAACTAGAACTTAATCAGGTTACCGCCATTAAAGATAATAAAAAAATATTTCTATAAATACATTAACAGGAGCAGGGCCCCATCATGTGTAATGGTGACTTGGGAAGACAAATGCCATCACTCTAAATGTCCATGCTTTCTTCCTTCTTTCCCCACTTCATATACTGAGTATGATGTCATGTGGTCTGGGATAGCCCTTTGGTCAGTTTGAGTCACCTGTCCAGGCTGTCTCCTCCCAGCCTCCCATGCACCCCCAATTCCCTCACCAGTGTGGCCATATTAAACACAGAAAAGGTCTTGGCTCTGTAAACCATACTTAGCAATAACAAAAACATCCCTACATTACCAGCCTTGTGTTCAGCACAAATCCAAAACCCAGTCCCAAACCAGCCCACTGTGAAGAAAGCCAACTCTGCATCAGTCAAAACCAGCACAGAGGTTCGACAAGGCCAAGTGTCAAGTTCTGGCTTTGGTAACAACAACCCCAGGCACTGCTACAGGAAAAGCTGCCTGGAGGAAAGGCAGGACCTGGGGATGCTGGGTGACAGCAGCTGAGTATGAGCCAGCCTGTGCTCAGGTGGCCAAGAAGGCCAATGGCATCCTGGCCTGGATCAGAAATAGTGCAGCCAGCACGACCAGGGAAGAGAAGAATCTCTTCTTGAATTAATTACAGTCGTAAGGGTAAACATGAGAGAGTGCTTTACTTAGTACTTACTAGTCAGGTTATATACAGCATTTTATCTCTTTTTCACTTTTTTCTGAAGGAAAAATCTTGAATGCTGGGCATAATTTTAAAATAGATGAGGCTTGAAGTCCCCAGGAAAGGCATGCGGTGCCAATTTCCAGCCAATAGTGGGAGGGCAAGTGTGTGGGTATGCAAGCAGTGATGGGGGCTGCGCTTGTGGGTGTTGATGGAACTAACAGGTCAGGCACTCACAAAACAAGTAGGGTGTTGCACGTGGTAAGAAACATTCTATTGCAGCACTTCTGACTAACTGATTTTTGTTTTTCCATCAGCATGATTGGCACATTGTTCTTGGACACTGTGAAGTGAAAGCCATTCCAACAGATTAATGAGTAGCTGGACTGTAAAACTAAGAACTCAGGAGCAGATACAGCCACAGCCAGTCAGTGTACATTTCTTAAGCAGCTTGCACAATCCCATGTTTTAATGGATGAGCTGGGCTCTTACAAGTGTCACCAAAGTTTATCAGCAAAGCCTACATGTTCTCACTGTGTCACTGCTGCTGTGAATTCAAGACCC